ACCTTTTTTGTTTTACAACGTGTGTGTGTGGGGGGGAATCCCCCTTCGATTCTATTGGCTCTAACGGTCAGAAAGAGGTGTCAACCATCAAAATCGACAAAGGGGTGCCAGAGATATGGAGAAAAATCCATTTCCACCCAAATCACCTCAGAGGTGGAGTGTTTTTGGCTAAACCTCTCTAAAAAGGTCAAATGTCACTTGTTTTGTATCAATCTTGATACAGGGTACTTATTATATGTTGTACTTTGGATTCCTAAAGCTTTTAGTCTACCTTACCATCATCCAAAGGTGGTTTTCACTATAAGTACAAAAATGTTTTTGGACGGACACTATAATTTACAGTTTTTTACTATGTAAAATCTGAATTTTCTTTAAAATAAAAAACATCTATATTGTTCTGACTTTTCTACATCCAACTCACAGGTTTATCATTACTTTGAGAAAAAAGATTATTAATTTAACCCTTTTAGAAGGATTTGTTCTGGGAATGTCATTTTCGAGCCTGAGACCTGAAAAACAGGCTCAGGGCTTAACAGGTTAAAACAGGCGAATTGAAACCTAATAGCCGCTTTCACACCAAGTACTTTGCCGTACTTAATGCCAGCACTTAGTACCCCCATGGAACTAAGTACAGATCGCGTTCACACCTAAGCCTTCCAAGTAAATCGCCAGAATGCCGACACCTCCTCATCACTCCACCGCTCCCATGTTTTTTTTTGTGTTGCCATAAGTTAGTCTCTCTCCAATGGCGGCTTCACAAAACTTTTCAGAGTTTTACGGGGCGTGGTTTGCAATTCACCCAGCCAATCAGAAATTGGTACTTTTTTCTCCCCAGGATACTACCACCTCTCTAGCAGGCACTAAAAATGGGGGTAAAAGTTCTCAGCACTAAGTACTCTTTTTGGTGTGATTGCAAAATTCCAGGCACTAACGGAACTAAACGGGAAAAGTACGGGTAAAAGTACTCCGGTGTGAACGTGCCTATTTATACACTACCTGACTCGTATTCGAATGAAAGGAATTGAAATATGTCATTCGTGGCACTAGACCAGGCATCCTCAAAATCCGGACTCTGGTCCAGATCCGGACCGAACCACAACTGTCTCTGACTCTGAGCAAATTATACTTTTCATATGTATTATCTGTGTTATCTGCGAGACATCGCCACAACGCAACGAGTCAAAATTCTCCGCTATGTCCACTGCAAACAGCGCTCTGCATGTCCGACTGTTCCACTGTCTGTGTGTGTCTGTCAACGCATTGGTCCAATCACATTCAGCATCCCGTCAGCGTTTTTCCCCCCCCACCAACAGTCTGCGAATCAGAGGCACAGTAGGGCGGGTCTTCGCAGAATGAGGGTGGGAAAAATGCGTTTCTCGTCTCTTTCAACCTGTCTGAGTCAGAGCGAGAGTTTAAAAAAAATAAAACAGCTCATCTAGTTGCATCTGTACTGTAGCTAGTAGCCTAGTTTCACCTACCGGGGTGGCATGGGGTGGCAACTGCCACCCTAAAAATAGGCCTTGCCACCCCAGCTGCCACCCCAGTTGGCAGCTTTGTTTTGAAAGAAAAGTTGTGGCTCATCGGATGAGAGAAAGTCTCTAATGTCTGAGTGCAAGTGAATGCAGCACAAGACGCACGTCTTGTAACCCCTCCCCCGGCCCTCGCGCGAGCGTGGAAATATGATTGGCGGCAATTTTTTTGAACGGGACGGCCGCAAAACGAGAAGCATTCGGACCCAAGTACTGAAGGAATGAGGTGCGGTCTACAATGACAGAGAAGAGACTGTCAGTGTGTCTGGACTCAGCATTGAATCAAAACGCACTAAAGCTGTTGATCTTAATCAGTTTGAGGCGTTTTGCTGAACAAGATGGTGATCGCCGCATTCAGCTGTAATAGACATGTCAACTTGATGCTCTGCTCACGGATGAGCATACAACACTGTTAACATGATGACCTTACGTGTGTAAATATATTCTTTTCTTTGTGGGGGTCTGCCCTGCAAAAACAGTTTTAAGTCCTGAGAAAGTCAAATTAGACGGTGTGTAAAACTACACTGCCCAGCCAACAGAAAGGAACCACTTTGATTGAACTAGGCCAGTAGGTAAGGACTCTCCACTGGATAATAACTGAAGTATAAAAGAATGCATGACTGAAGTGATGGAGACCATGTTTGAAGGCAAACAAAAAGAGGAAATAACAGGTCAGATCAAGCAAAGCCCCCTCTCAGATTCCACAGCAACCAGAAGAACATAAATACTGGCTGGTGATTGGATTAATCAGCTTTGTGATGGAATAAAAAATGCACAGTGCATTTCCTCAGCTGTGGATGAGTCCACTGACACCACTGACAATGCTCAGTTGCTGGTGTTTGTGAGTTTTGATGATGAGGCAAAGGGGGAGTTTGTTGAAGATGTGTTGGGCCTGACGAACCTCAGTGGACACACAAGGGGGCAAGACATTTATAAAGCAATAATGGGAATGCTGAATGAAAGAGGGTGCAGCTGCCTTTATTCATAACTGTGCAGCTCTCACACTGCGACTCTGAGGGATCAAGCACAGACACAAGAACAATGAAAACTGCTGCATACAGAGACTTTTTGTTTTTGCAACCTCGTGTTAAGAATCTTGTTGCAATTGTTTAAAAGTTTGAATGACCGTAATAAACGGACCTCTGTCTTAGTGAAACATTTCTTTGGACCTTTAAGATTTGTATTTGAGTACCCCTGCACTAGACCATTATGTAGGGAGTTGAAATAAAAATAAAAATGTCTCTGGAGGTGTGTGGCGCAGTGGATAGAGCCTAGGTGTTGGGATCAGGGGGTCACAGGTTCAAACCCCACTGTAGTCAGCATGTCGTTGTGTCCCTGAGACACTTCACCCCAAATTGCTCCTGTGGGGATTGTCCACAGTATTGAGTATGTAAGTCGCTTTGGATAAAAGCGTCTAACAAGTGACATGTAATGTAATGTAATGTCTCAGTATAAAACCCCCTCTAAATGTCCAGTTTAGTTCATAGCTAGTGAAGCATTTCTCATGTGAATGGGGTTGTACTGGTTACATTTTGTCGAACAACAAAACCTCAGTATTCCTAAAATAGCTTTGGGGTGTGGTTATGTCCCTGAGACAAAGTGCTCCTGTGGGGATTGCCCACAGTATTGAGTATGTAAGTCGCTTTGGATAAAAGCGTCTAACAAGTGACATGAAATGTAATGTTACAGGTACAACCCACCACACCTGTGATGAAGGGTGTGTTAGTGTGAAGTTGTAGTCTTGTCTTACCTCATGCTTGCATTGACCCAGGTGTCTCTCCTCCTGCAGGTGTGTTAGTGTGAAGTTGTAGTCTTGTCTTACCTCATGCTTGCATTGACCCAGGTGTCTCTCCTCCTGCAGGTGTGGTTCGCACCGGGCTGTCCCGTCACTGCAGTCTGTGGCAGAAGGTGTTCATCGAGCCCATCGCCCGGCTGCTGTTCCTGGACCCGGAGGCCGGCGCTCAGACCACGCTGCACTGCTGCCTCCAGGAGGGCATCGAACCTCTGAGCGGGCGCTACTTTGCCTGCTGTGCCGTGCAGGAATCGTGCCCGAAAGCCCGGGACGACGCCGTGGCCCAGAAACTGTGGGAGGTCAGCGAGAGGCTCTGTGGAATCTCTTAAAACACTTATCTTCTGCTGTAAATGGATTGTTAAGTCCAGGAGGGATCAAAGTTAAAAAAATTGTTCACTCTGTCTTTGTTTTCCCGCCCTTTTTTGTTTTCTTCCCGCCTTTTTGTGATTGTTTCCCCCGCCCTGTCTTTTGTTAGTCATTAGTTCTGTGTGTACATACGCCTCTCTTTCCCAGAGTTTTTCTGGGCGTTGATGTTTACCGTGGTTCTACTCATCAATGTTTCATCGATGTTTCTCTCTACCATGTTTCCTTCAGCTGTTTCTTCCTCTGGACTCGCTGCCTGTTTTCCTCGTGCCATCCCATTTTGTGTCTACTTTAGTTGTGCTGTTTATCTTTTGTTTAGTATTACCTTGTCTGCTCTCTTAGTTTCTTGTTAACCTGCGTTTGGTCTTAGCTCTCCTTTTTCTTATTAAAAAAAAACCAAAAAAAACGTTTACTCTGTTATTCAAGTATTTTCTGTAAGACTTAAGTCACATTGCCTGTACCCATGTCATGATATAAATTGGTTCAACGTTTTGCTCTGTAGCATCTTTTATTTACAGTATTCTTCCCCTCTGGGAACACGTGCTGTTATTTATTGTCTGTTTATTGCACTCAGTAAATTGAACACGATCATCTATTATGGTAGTGTAATATATTTCACAGGATAAAAAGAGTCTTTAAAGGTGGGGTAGGTAAGTTTGAGAAACCGGCTCGAGATACACTTTGTGTTATATTCCATGGAATGCTCTTAACATCCCGATAACAATGAATATCTGAAGTGCTTTGACAAAAATCCATAAAATAATATCATCTGTGGAAGCTGTAGTACTGTGAAAAGCACGACCAATCATGTGAGCCGGCCCGGCTAAAATAACTGGATGGCCTACCTGCCTGTCAGCCTTCCATCTGTGCACAGACTTATCTCGTGCCCTCATTGGTCATGTGCGCGCTCGTGTGTGTTGGAGGAGGGGCTCTGTGAGGAAGTGGCAGATTTTTTCCGGCTGTGTATTTTCAAATTCTAGCGATTTCGTGCTGGTTTCTCCAAAATGACCTACCCTACCTTTAAATGTTTGGCTCATAGCAGCCATGCATTAGAACCTATGTTGTTAATCATTCATTAATTGATGTTTTAATGTTTGAAATCCTGGACTTAAAAATATTAAAATAATAAACAAGTGACAAGAAGTTTTTGACAGAAATTGCTTTGTAAAAAAACAGACTAATTCAGTTCTGAATATTATACACAAGAGTTACAGTACAGTAAGAGATCCAACGTTTTTTAATTAATCTTAGTGCCTCAGGTTTTATCAGGAAAGTGTTCAAGTTAAAAAAGATCCCCCGTGACTGGTAGACAATTACATTATCAGATTTTTTATTGATAATGTAATGTTGATCATGTGAGCAGGGAGCATGTGCTACAGCCAGAAACTTACATTATTAAAACAATTATGAAATCACAAAACCATTTTGAACATTAACGTCAGATCTTTTTACACCACATAGTACCTGCAGGCAGAGAGAGAAGGAAGGAGAGACTTGAATTCAATACTGAAGCGTTAACATCAGTGAGACAAATGAAACAGTGAACATATCACTGGTTCAGAGAAGCTGCTTGTTCACAGCGCCATCTGGTTCGTCTTCGGTGCTTTCTTCTTTAAAACCCTAACCCTGCAAAGAGGACAAATGCATCAGTTAGCCAAAACCCAAAGTCTTGCTGGAAACAACAAATGGAATATGTAAGATCACTGACATCATCCTCCTGTTAAAGAGACCTCTGATCTTTATCTACAGTACTGACCTTTGAGCTCGAGCCTCACCGATCTCTCCCATATGACGTCTCCGTCCCTTTCGACGATGCATGTGTATGCACCGATATCTCCATGACGGGGGTTAATCAGGGTCAGACTGAGATCTCCAGCTTGCAGGGGGTTTTCCATCAACTTTGTGCGGCCTCTGTAAGAGTCGTGCTGCTCCTCAGACGTGTCTTGGCCATTCTGATACACATGGACTGTCGAGGAATTGGATAACTCGAAACGTTTCCATCTCACCGTTACATCTGCAGGCAGCCGAGCTCTGGTTTTGAAGGGCAGTGTGACACATTTAGCCCAATCCCCGACCTCCACCACCTCCTGGGGGACTAAAAGGGAAAACAGACCCTCAATTTAGAAACAGCAGCATTGGTGATACCATCTGATTTCATATCATTTGAGTCCATGAAATGGATAAATGGTTCCATCTGCATCTTTGTGCGATCGCAATAAAACTCATCCTGTCTAACAAGATCGTTGTTACCGTTACAATATTCGTGGACCCTCATTGGCTCGAAGTCACAAGGACTCCACTCCACGGTGACGTCTTCATGCAGAGGGTCTATGGTTTTGTAAGGAAGTTTTACAAAGCACTCTCCCTCTTCCACCACTACAGAAGAGACTGAGAGGACAACAAACAACAGCATCAGCAGCACGAACACACAAACTGTGATCTTAACAGGTCCTGTGACAACATACTACATACCTGTGATGGTTGTGTACCAACCCAAGGCAGCTACAGCCAGAGCAAGGCAAACAGCCAGCATAGGATATAACCAAGTAGGAAATGTGGGCCGTTCTGTTGGCAACATAATCAACAACATGACTTTCTCTTACTGAACACCAAACAGCAACAATATTACATGTAAAAACCTTTTTTTTGTATTCTAATAAAGTAATAAGTAGTTCTGATAATCCTTCCATGTCCACCTTACTGTGCCCTGTATGTACAGAGTAGGGGTTAGGGTTTGTTCCTTACCTGTAACCTGCAGGCGCACAATTACCCTTGAAATGTCCTTTTCCTTGTGATGGACGTGGCAGGTGTAGACGCCGCTGTCAGAGAGTTGGGGTTCTTTCAGAATGAGATTGAGGTCTCCAGTTATCAGAGCATCAGCTGCCATAGATGTTCGATCGCTGTAATGCTGGTTTTGAAAACGGGGCTCATCTTCGTCAAGATGCTGGTGGACGGCTGAGGGATTCAAACCGAAGCGGCTCCACACCACTTTTGTGTCCTCGGGTAACCTAAACCAGCGGTCCCCAACCTTTTTGGCGCCACGGAGCGGTTTCATGTAAGATAATATTTTCGCGGACCAGCCTTCAAGTTGTGGGGGGATAAATATGACGAAATAAAATAATACGACCTGTGTTCCTGTTTACCTGGTTATTGTGTTAACTGGTTAGATCTGCTTTCGTTCTGTCTATGGTTGTAACGTTAGCTATTTTCCATTGGGTTGAATGTTGCAATCAAACATACCACAAAGGCATATAATTGCAACAAAAAAAAAACCTGTCTACGGTACCGCGGCACAGACGATTACATAACATGCAAGTAAAGTAGCGTTTTTCAAAGCATGGGTTCAGACCTTAATTGCCTCGGCTATAGTTCAATCAATTTGATTTATTTATTGCAAGCTTCATTTATATGCTGCAGTTTACAGACAATCTGCCCGTTCAAATACTGACTCAACACAGTTTGCTGTCTCAAAGTCTCTCGCACATCTGCAAAAGAAAGAATTAATAAAAGTAAATGTGTAAGCAGATCTAACCAGTTAACACAATAACCAGTTCAACTGGAACACCGGCATCAAAACAAATATAAAGTGCATAAGATATAACTCACCATTACGCTGAATTAGTGGGAGCCCTGGGCTTGTGTCTCTGCAACAATCTAGGGGTAATGGGAGACAATGACACCCGAAGTGTGTTCCTTATGAACTCCGTAGAAAATCCCACATCACAAAGGTAGGATGTTGGAAATGGAAGCAGGGTTTTCAGTGCTTTTTAGGCGATCTCAGGATATTCTGCCTTGATTTTAATCCAGAACATCGGAAGAGTTGTTTTCTGAAACAAACCTTTAAGGCCAACGTCATTTGCAATCTCCAGCAGTTGATCTTCTTCTGGCACGGACAAGCTCGATTCAGCTGGTGTGTTCACAAATGGGTCGCGGATCCATTCTTTTGCAGTTCGTGGGTCTTTTGTGGATGGGAAGTACCGCTCAAACTCTTTCAAAAGCGAAGAGAGGTGATCCTGCACTAGCTGGGAGAATGATGGCTCAGGCTCAGTCTCTTCCAAAATCCCTGCTATTGTTTGAAACATGTCAAATATCCCTCAGTTCACTCGCTGTCCCCACAATTCCTTGGCCTTGAATGCAGCGACTCTATCTGCCAACATGAATACAGTTGTAATGTTTCCCTGAAGTGACAGATTGAGTTCATTGAGCAGGTTGAATATGTCGCACAAGTAAGCGAGTTTTGCGACCCATTCCTTGTCACTGAAATGTGCTGCCAGTGGTGACTTTCTTTCGGAAAGAAATCTCTGCAGCGGCTCTGGTAACTCAAACGCTCTGGTTAACGATCTCCCTTTAGACAGCCATCTTACTTCTGTGTGTAAGAGAAGGCGTTTGTACTCTGCGTCCATCTCCTCACGAAGCTGCTCGAATAGACGCGAGTTAAGAGCATGTGCTTTGACGTGGTTAATGACTTTAATGACATAATTCAATACGCTGTTAAGTTCAGGTGACATTTTTCGGCTAGCCAGCATTTCCCTGTGAATGACACCGTGTGTGGACTCACATTCAGGTGCAACCTCCTTAACCCGAGCAGTTAAAGCAGAAAGCCGTCCAGTCATGGCAGCAGCTCCGTCCGTGCATATGCCGACACAAAAGGACCAATTCAGTTTTCCTGATATGTAATCATTCAAAGACTTGAATAGTTCTGCAGCTGTGGTGTTGGTTGGCAACATTAGTGCACATAACATATTCTCATGCACATCCTCCTGATATATATATATCGCACATAAACGAGTAGTATTGCCTTGTGGTCAATATCAGTAGACTCATCAACCTGGATTGCGTACCACAGTGATTTACTAATCCTCTCCAATAATTGTGTCTCAATGTCCTCTGCTATTTTCTCAATTCGCCTAGTGACGGTGCTAGACGAAAGAGGAACCTGTGCAATCTTTTTAACTGCAGCCTCTCCAAGAAGTTCACGGCAAATGTCCTTCGTGGCTGGAAGGATCAATTCTTCACCAATAGTAAAAGGTTTATTCGCCTTAGCAATACGGTTAGCCACTAAGTATGATGTTCTCAGTGCACTCGCATTTGTTTGATGTGGTGGCCATCAGTAATTGCTTCTGTCCTTCTTGCTCAGGTTTTTTTTCTTTTAAAAATACTCCAAAGGCTTGTCTTTTAATCCAGGGTGCTTGGTCTCCATGTGCCGAAGCAGTTTTGAAGGCTTCATTGCCTCATTTGCTAGCCTGTTGCCACATATTATGCAGAGCGGGCTAGGAGCATGAGAATCACCTGTAGCGATAAACCCATACTTTAAGTCAGACTACTGATATTGTCTTTTAAATGCAGCTTTCTTTTTCTTTGAAGTCGTAGGCTCTTCTTCCTCTGTCTCCACATTGGGTCTTTTCCCCTTTCCAAATAATCTCTTTAAAGAAGTTTGTGTTGCACTCATTTTTGCTAGCTTGTTTTTAGCAGGGCTTTTTGTGGGCTTAATATTTGGGGTATCGTACAGCCAATCAGCGTGTCACAGCGTAATGACGTTCCAGAGTCCAGACTGCTCTCGCGCTCAGTGTTGCCAGATGGGCAGTTTTCCATGAGTTGGGCTGGTTCCGAAAAATGTATCACTGTAATAACTCACGGCACGCGAAAAATAAAATATCTTTCAGACTAATAATCAATAAAATATTTTTGTATAATATTTTTCTAAAATATTTCTTTATAATATTTTTATAAAGAAGCTTCAACGCTTCTGCCCATTCACTTTGAATGGGGTGACATCATGCTTTGCTGAACTGCATTGTGGGAGCGTTGCTTCGCTTTGCTCGCTTCAAAAAGTTGAGCAATGTTCAACTTTTGAAGCTTCGGCGGAAGCGTCAGCCAATCAAATCATATGCCAGTACAAGCTCTAGCCAATCAAACCGCGTGCTTATGTGTCCGGGGCGGGAGATTCATGTGATTGGTTGTTGGTCGAGTTTCAGACAAGCTCACCGGCAAGCTTCAACGCACGCCGCCGTGTGGACGCTGCGTAAGGCTTAGAGTGCGTGATGTCACAGCTAGATTCGAGGAGAGCTTGAAATTCACCTTACATTTTTATTTTAAACCTGCCATAATTCCCAAACCCTACACTCCTTGGACATCATTTTTCATGAAAAACCTAGGAAAACCTCTCCTACGTTGAAAATAAAAAAATATTAAGCAAAACAATTAAACAAAATGCCTTTTGAGGGCATGAAGTGACAACAACGTTCAACATGTCTCCATTAAGGCCCATTGTAAATTCAGCCTGATCTTTCGTCAGAGCAGCAACTGCACACCTTTAGTAAATTTGTCAAAAACGCCACATTATTGACCCGAAAGTACACAAAAAGCAGACAGAGACGCTCCTCAGGGTCCTGACATGCTCCACGCGTTGACATTTTACCGATAGCTGCTACGGTTTTCAACAAAAGTTAGAAATGTAAGAGGTT